TAGATCAGTAATCATCATTTGGATAACAATACTGTATTGCATATACAGAATTACGTCCTATTCGTAATTTTTTGAAAGAACTTCAAATTTTATTTTCTTGAATCTGGCAGCACTGTCTTGTGATTGTTGCAAACATTCACTGATTCGGGAATTCAAGTAATGACCTTGACTATTCACAAAAACGTCATATGGGCTATTCTATTTTGTGGAATACTCTACTCTACTAGTAAATAATTACGGTTTTTCCGTTTTTTTTTTTTATAATGAATTTAAATTACAGTAGAGCATCGATTATCCGACTCAATTGGGGACTGGGGTTGGTTGGATAACTGAAAAAACGGATAACCGAAAAATATGAAAAAATACATTATTAGTATATCTCATGTAATTAGTATATCGCTATTAACCTACTTTGCGTTGAATTTTCATTGATGTTAAGCCTAACAAAAATTTTTTAAAAATAATAATCATCGCTATTGCATTGTTAAAAATTAGAAAATTAAGCCTCATTTAAATACTGGCTCCCTTTCATGGTCGAGCCAGTGTTGCCAGCTAAAACGCGTAAAGTAGCCAAGACATAGCCAAATATTGTAGCGCCACATCACTAGCAGACATTTGAATTTGCCGACTAGAACGGTTGGTTAACCGATGTGACGGTTAATTGGGGGGGGGGTCGGATAATCAATGCTCTACTGTATATACATTTCAATCTATTTTTTTGTATCTGTCCTATAAGACAACTCCAGATTTTGGGAATCTTTTATGATTCAACTACTGTCTTATCTGCACAGATACATGGTATATTGAAATGACATATGCGTTCATGTTTAAACATGTTTGAACTAATATGCACATAAATTTCAAGCTGATAGAACTAGTTGTTAATTAACTATTGGGAAGGTAATAGTTATCTGCATGTACACTGGCATAAAAATGGACAATAGCATTTTAGAGCAATGTATTAATATTAATTTCATGTGAAATTCAGCAAATGTGCTACTAAACACATTACAACTGTTGTAAGTGGCATATGGCAAAGATACTATGAAAAAGTATCCAAAGGAAATCCAAAAGTTCACAATGCCCTTAAAAGACATGCATGTGGTGCTCACAGTTTAACACTATGAAGATAAAACCATACTGGTGTGACTAAAGAAACACACCAAGCATTTATTGAATTGGGACAGACAGTTAAACAACAATGATATTTAGAAGTATTCCAGAGATTATGAAATTGAAGAAAAAAAAAACTTGAACTGTTGCACATTGTCATGATGAATGATCATGACAATGTACCAAATCACAGTGCACTGTGAGGTATTTTCTGGCCAAAAAGGCAATTACCCAATTAGATCATCCTGCCTATTCACCCGACTTAGAGCTCTGCGACTTCTGGATATTTCCAAAATTAAAAGTAACATTGAAAAGACAGAATTTCTAATATAACTGATATCTAGAGAATGTGAGACATCTGCTGAACAACATTCTGGAAAAACAGTTCAGGATCCGCTTCCAGAAAGAGAAACACTGTGTAAATCAGCATATAGATGCACAAGGAGAGTACTCTGAAAATGACAGTAGCCACTAGTATACAGTTCTGCATGTGTATTTTTTTATAGGCAAATTCTGGGAATTGTTACACCTTGTAAATGCATGTGTATGTTTAAATAAGTTTCTTCAAGAAAAAATTATTTTGAAATTTTATTTTAATGACAATCTTAGTTTTTTAAAGTATTTCTCGCCTTCTATTACATTGTTGATTTTGTGGGGCATTGATTATTTGCAGTAAACAGATTGATTACACATTTACTGTATACTGTGCAGTGCCAAAATCCAGACAAAATTCAATTTCAAATTCCCGCCACTCTATACCACCGGTAGATGTCGTGTTTGGCATTCAAATAGCTTGACACATGTACTAAACCATCATAACCTCGAAACAGTCGCAATATTGAAACCAAGTGCGGAGTATAACCGAATAGCCGCAATTATCGAAAGTGTTCGCACTGGGTGCTCGGCGACAGAAATCATTCAGTTCTTTGGGTACCCGAGATCAACTGTGCATGATGTCCAGGGCCGGATTAACCCACTTTGGGGCCATAGACATTTTCTTCTTACGGGCCCCCTTTCTCACACTAGAAATAAAGCACACAAAAAATATAAAACAATAAACAAAACTAAATAATGTGAAAAACTAAAACAAATCTTAAATTTTTATTAATAAAAAATATTTAATACACAACAATAAATTTTAGTTTTTCTAGAAAAGTTTGAACAGTTTGTTTATAAATTTAAAATATTGAAATTTGTTTTATTAAATGTCTAACAAAAGTTGTTGTAAAATAACAATATTACCTTTAAAAAATAATTGTCAACAAGACTATGTCTTGTTTATAAAATCATACTGCTTGCTGTGTTACCAGCTTAGAGATATAAAGGAGTACATGTCAGGATTTGCAATTTGGCACAGTGTATTAAGTGCCCAAATCATGCGAGCATAAAAAAACCTCACTTGTAGGTACTCGGGACCGAGAACTGAGTGAAAGTAAAATATAAAATGGCGACTCTCTCTACAAACAGGCAAACCGAAGTCAGGTGATGAGAGTACCACCCACAGTCGTTCAAGGAAATGGACTCTGACCCTAGGACTGAACACGTAGTATTTTCTTTGTTAAGTAAAATTTGTAATCTAATTTTGTAAATTTGGGAGTGCTTCAAATATGACATTAAAATAGGGTTTTATGTCGTTACAAGTAGGTTTTTTAACATTGTCTAGTATAGTAAAATCGTGGGACCAGTAAAAATTTGACGTTATAATCAGGTTAAACTGTATATTGTTTGTGCAAAATAAAAAAAATAATTTCGGATGATACAATAGCCACGATTTTTTTTTCAAAGACGAGAAATTTTCGTTAGGCATCGACAAAAATTCAACCCGGGCCGACACACAACGGAGAGCAATTTCAAAATTGAATAGGTTAATTTCATCGAAAATGCATGGTGGACGACCTCGTGGTCGTGGCTGGCGAAGTTTGAACGATTGCACCCAAAAGCAGCGATACCAAAGAAGATTGGAGAATGAGAAAGAGATCCGCTTTCAGCATCAAAGTGATTTCGCTTAGTAGTGTCTCCGAGACATAGTCGTGTCCCAAATACGGTTTTGCCGTTTTACTTGATTAATTTAACCTTTTTGGTTAATATTTAAATAATATAATATTTTACCAGTTTTACCAGTATTATACAGTTGTCCAACAGAAGAGTAATCTATCTTATTTACAAATCTTTTCAAAATAGACAGTTTGACCGTGCCTTTCTAAAAACCGGGCCCTAGACATTTGTCTCATTTGTCTATGCAATGATCCGGCCCTGATGATGTTGTCGCAAAGTACAATGAGTCGGAGAAGTCCAACGAAGATTTTACAACACCGGCAAGGAAAACTCACTCAAAGGAGCATGTTGTCAGGACACCCGAAATCATTCAACAGGCTCAGAAGCTGATTTTTGAAGATCCAGATCAGTTGATCAGAAAATTGTCGTCGGTTGTTGGCACAAGCAAGAAAACTATGCGTAGAATCATCGAGGAGGTCGTCCACTACAAGTCTTACACAATTAAAGTAAGACAGATGCTTTCCAAAGCCGCCAGGACAAAGCGAGTCGAACACTGTAACTTGCTTTTGTGTTCACCCAGATTTTTTTCCGACGAGAAAATTTTTACCGTTAATGTGAAAATCAAAACGAAGGAATAACTACCAACTCGCCCACGACCCCAAAGATGTCCCCATTATTGAAAGAAAGAAATTTCCGGCGAATGTTCACATGCTAGGTGTCGTGTCTAGTGAGGGTGATGTCATGCCACCATATTTCTTTAACAAAAGGGGAAAATGTCACAAAAAATTTTATTTGCACGTTCTGACAAATATAGTGAAGCCATGGATAGAAACCGCGTCGTCCGGAAAGCGATATGTTTTCCAGCAGGACGGTGCACCCGCCCACACAAATCATTTGGTGCAAAATTGGTCGAGAGAATTCTGGCCTCCCAACAGCCCAGATTTGAATCCTTTGGACTTCTATGTATGGAGCGTAATCAAAATGGTCACGAACAAGCCCAGACATTCAAACATCGCATCACCAAGAGCCGCCATCGACGCGGTATTCGCCGATACGGACCGCGACACATTAAAGCGCGCCCGCACACACTTCAGACAAAGAACGGAGGCAGTGATTCAAGCAGGAGTGTGATATATTAATTAATTTAAATAAATGTATTCTTTATGGCCTTACAAACAATGTGATTAAAAAATAATTTGTAAACCTTTTTGTTTTTGCAATAAAAAATATGTTTGGGAAAAATGTATAATTTGTCCAGATTTTGGCACCGCACCCCGTATATAAAAAGCAAGTCATACGAGCCAATGATATAAAGTATCAAAAATAACTTCTGTTTAAACAGACAAACAGCGAAGGACCTATAAGCGGGTGTCGAGAGATTGTACAGAGGCGGGGAGTATTAGAATGGGGCCCTTTTTCTTTTTTTTGTTTTAACAAATGAAATACATAATGTTCAGTAAAAAGCAGTCTTAAAGATTCAATTTTCTGCTAGTAAAACTAACATTAAGCTTTTACTCTCTACTGTTCTGCCTTTAAGTAATTTACACCGAGCCTGCGATTTTCACATTTCCATTGATTACGTATTTTGTCGCGGTTTACCGATTTTTCGATAAATTACTTAATTATGCTTCGTTATAACGTTTCTGTATATAAAATTGGAAATTTTCGAAAACGAGGCGCGGAGAATAAAAATTCGCTCCCAGTTCATATTACTTAAGCCTAACGTGTAACGTAGAAAAATACAATGTTCTGTTTAATAATGGTTTAAACAGTGCCATATATAATATAAATTTTATTAGAAAACGTTTTATTTAACTTAGAATATGGAGAGAAAGCGAAGAAAGAAAGAACAAAGCGCGGCGGGTAAGGAAGTAGGCGAGAGAACAACTTACGTCCCCCATCCAAAGGGTTCCACCTCTCATGCTCATAGTCGCCAGTTTGAAGTCTGTAAGGGAAACAAAGTAAAAACCAAATAGAATTTGAGTACAATATTTAATAATTGAAGAGAAAATTTAGTTAAAAGACGAGACAAAATGGCATCAATTATCGATAACCTCGCACCCGATTAGACAAACTTACCTGTAGAGCGCGCCATCACACGGTCGAATACGAACTGTGAAAGAGAACGGCGTTTGGTTTATCTCGTTTGGCGTAACCTTGAAAAGTGGACGCCTCGACGTTTCTATCCTGGTGTTGGATATTATGATATTTTCCACGTCACTTTTTAAACAAAAGCTTCCAAAAATAGTTTTCTCATTGGAATAAATGTTAAATAAATTCATATTTTATATAAAAATGATTCAAATATATTTTTTTTATTTAACGTCTTGCTTACGTTTCCGGTGCATTTATAAATCGTTCGATGAAGATTTCTGTGTAATATTAATATATTTTAAAAATTAAATAATATGTAGTTTCACACGTTTGAAATAATTTACATTACTTATATTTTTATAAAGTTCCTTATTTCATAATTTATTTCATAGTATAGTGTATTTGAAGTAGGCAACAGTTGATCAGTGAACGAGTTTCGGAACTTTTAATTATTTAAATAATGATAAATTATACCATCAAATTTTTATATAATTCTTATATTATAATAACTGTTCGTCGCTTTAAAGGATAACAACAGGAAATGATAACAAAAAAACTATTTTATTGTTGTCTATTTTTTATTTAATACCACAGAAGGTTGACGGCCGGATGGCCGAGCGGTTAAGATGGCATCCCACCGCACTGGGGAACCCGGGATCGCATCCGTACGGGTCGAAAAAGCCCTAGGAATTCTTCGACCGGATAAGTCGGTCCCCATCCCTCACCACTCAGCCGCGCATTGTGGCCGAACCAATAATGTGGTTCCTAAAAGTGTCACTCTGAGTGCCCACACGGCGGAAAGAGTTATAACGTAAATATATACTATACCAAAAACCATAGAAAGCCTTGCACTGTCCCTCCATGGATCCTGTCAGATGCACAATAAGAGGTGACGGGTTATGAATGACGAATGTGATAAATCCGATTAATTTATCTGTAAAAATTTCTATGTCGATCCGTTTCGAACCAGAATCTTCATCGGTGTTCTTACCGAATCTATCTGCCCATAATTTACTATAAAAACTTGATTTTTTAGTAAATTATGCATCGTATTTCGCATCTGCAATAAGAAAAATGTCGCCGGCACAAAGAAACCTCAGTCTTCAGCTCTGAGAGACCAGGAATAGAATCCAACTTTAACATTTCCAACGTTTTCATGAGTTTTTCGCTACCAGTTCGGCTACCATTTTAGTCCTCGCCGTTCAGTATTCCTTTGTTGATCCAACCGAATGCTACAAACATCTTATTATTGCTTATATTGCGGCACGAAGATAATACAGTATTTCGTTTTACGGTCGTTATAAATTTATAATCGAATCGACACCCGGATGGCCGAGGAGGTTAAGGTGTCAGCCTTTGAAAGCATTCGTGTTTGGGTCTACAGCCTCAGAAATGGAGGAGGGCCGACACATCTGGAACAAATGTATCGAATCGTCTCCACATTCTGGTTGAACTCATAATGACCATGGAAAAAGTCTTCTTATCTCTTAGAGTCTACAAGATTGAAAAAATAAAAGCATGAAAAAAGTTTTTAAAAATAATTGAAATACAGTTTTGTTTAGGGGAGAGTAGAGTAAGGATCGAGTTATAAACTCCGTAACGTAAGCATATCCTTATTCGTAAATGTTTGCTACACTGGATATCTACAGCAATAGTTATGAACTACCGTAAAGGAACAAATTTTTTACGGTTTATATCGTGAGCATGCGCAAAATCATCGGCTTTGTTGCCAGATCTAATACTATAATTGTTTATTCATTTTATCATTTTTCTACTTTTTATGGCCAAAGTAACTCTTATCTTAAAATTTTATATTATTCAGAAGCAGCATTGTCGGTCAAAAGTTACGTTTCAACCAATTTGTCAAAGTTTCTTGGGTTGCTTCTGGCACAACTTCCGTTGTATATCGACTGATGGCGACTTAGTGCATGCGCAGTTGGTCAATTCTCCATATCCCTATCGTAAAAGTTTGATCGAGCCAAACTTTTCCTACTGAATACGGTACGGCCATACGGATACGATACAGAGTTTATAACCACGCTATACGGATACGCTTACAGCTACAGATACGGTTACGTTACGGAGTTTATAACTCGACTCTAAGTATTGACGTAGATAACTTGTTTTTATTTTCCTGTTGTATCAGCTACTTGAGCATGAGCTTCTAGGCTATATCGCCCCGTGATAAAGTATGACACAATTGTCGTGTAACAGTAGTTGTATGCGTTTATGATGATCGTTAGGCGGGGAATAATGCCTTTCGGGAGGCCTTTAAAACTAACTGGCACTCAAGGAGTAAAGAGAATATGTAAAAAGCACTATAATCTGTGTGCCTGTGTCAGCAGACTTTCGGTTTCTAAAGGCAGCTAAACAACATTGTGTATCTAAATCGACTTTTGAGAGATTAAACAGATTAAATAAGAAAGTTCAAGAAAACTGAAAGCTAGGACCAGGAACAAGACTTTTCTCTCTAATATGGAGCTGGTAGAGCATGTAAAACATTTTAAGGCAATGTTGATTGATATAACACCAAGAGCAGTTCGCAATATTGCATATCAGTTTACTGTAAAAAGCAATTTAGAACATCATTTCAACAATTAAAAACAATTAGCTGGAAAGGATACGCTGCGTGCATTCTTGAAACGAAACAAACTTTCAGTTTGATTACCAGAGGCCAAGTCTGCTGCAAGAGCAAGAGGATTCAATCGACCAAGGCGAATTCTCTGGGCTTGCTTAGCATGCGCCGCACGCTTAAGAGAAAGTTTTGACTGTCAATATACAGCATCAATACATTACTATCAAACTTCAGATTTGTTTTAGCCATCAGCTTAGATATCGCTAAAGCTTTTGATAGTGCATGGTGGCCTTCAATAATATATAATTTGAGAAAAAAGCAATGTCCCAAAAATATATACAGAGTATTTCTCAATTACTTAAATAACAGAACAGCAGAATTATGTTGTGGTGCTCATATAGTAAGACGGAATGTAGTCAGGGGTTGTCCTCAGGGCTCAGTTTGCGGTCCTATCTTATGGAATGTAGTCTTTGATAGTTTCTTAAAGCAATCCTTTGGACATGATTCAATAGCATTTGCTGATGATGCTATAGTGCTGATAGGTGGAAACACAAGAGCTGCTCTTGAGGAAGTAGGAAATGACACCTTGAACAGTATCAGCAAATGGGGGGAAGACTATAAACTAACTTTTAACACCAATAAAACAATTGGTATTGTTTTTAACAAACCTGGAAACCCAAACTTGTATTTACGAACACCTACAATAAAGATGAGCGGCAAAAAAATCAAGATCGTTAAAAATATTAAATACTTAGGGATAATATTGGACTTTCGATTATTATGGAACTCACATATTACGTATATCTGTGATCGAACAGGAAATATATTTAATAATTTTGCTAGAATTGCAAAGAAACAATGGGGGCTAGCATACGAGGCACTACTCATAATATATAAACAGATATTTATACCAATAGTAACGTATGCATGTGGTAGTTGGTACCATGACATTTACAAAGTGCATATTAAAAGAAAATTGATATCCGCTCAAAGAAGAGCCCTTATTCAAATCACAAGGGCATATAGCACAACCCCCAACGTCTCTATACAAGTGTTAGCCAGATGCCCACCTATTGATAAAACAATAGAATATACTGCCAAAATCTGGCACATAAAATGGGGGAATAATATACAAACAAACGACCTTACCATTAGAGCGGAAGACTTCGAAAGACCAACACCTATTGACCTGACTAAACACCCAGCAATAATCAATAATATAACATTTAACTCAAGTCATGAGACAAATGTGAATATATATACGGACGGATCAAAAACCGGGAAAAGCGTGGGTTGTAGTTTCGTGGTTTATTGTAACAACGAAACAATAGCAATAAAACAGTACAAGCTTGGCGAATTTTGCTCTAATTTCCAAGCAGAACTATTCGCTATACAGATGGCTGTTTCCTGGTCAAACCAAATGTACACGAATGAAGTAATAAAAATTACTACAGACTGTGCCTCTGCTATCGATCTATTAAACTCCAGGAATTACCATCCAATAGCAAACAACATACATAATATTATAAATACTTCTAGCTGTCGATACACTCTAAACTGGATTAGAGGTCACCAGGGGCACACAGGAAATGAAAAGGCTGATGAGATGGCAAAAGAAGCTTCTCATAACGAAGAATTGGATGTGGCTTATAATAAAATCAGTATAAGAACAATAAAATCTATATTATGGAATGATTTAATTATAAATTGGCAAAGTGATTGGAATAATTGTAACACTACTACTCAAGAATATATCAAAGACATTAATAAATTCCTTAAAAACAAATGGTACAAACCCACTAGCCATCTGACACAAATACTCACAAACCACGGTCGTTTTTTTTCGTATCTGTCCAGATTTAAAGGTGCAATAAATCCAAATTGCACTACCTGTGACATTATTGATGGGAGTAGTCATTACATATATGATTGTCCAATGTTAGAAGTAGAAAGATCAACATTAAAAACTCTATTATATTCCCACAAAATAAACTGGCCACCACCTACATTGGATATTGTATTTGATCATAAGGATACCCTTGATGCATTCTTACAACTTGTTGAAATGTACCATCTAAGAACCAACGTACCAGCCTATAGCGGTCACTGAAGCTATTATCTATGTCAATCATTAGGTATCATAACCAATATATAGGTCATTCTAAAAACACACTGGATAATATTTAAACGTTATTGCGGAACGATTAAACTGCTAGCTCAACTCAATTATCGTCTCTGTAGCACTTTGTAATCCAATTATTTCAGTAATCAAAGCTATGCAGAATATTAAACAGAAGTAACTGGATCAACTCTAGTGTTATTCAACCTGAGTTACAACTGATTTTGTTTTGTATAGAGTAACTATGGTTCAGTTAGAACTGTGTCTTTCATTGGATTCAAGAAGAGTCCACATTATTATACACTATAACAGTAGCGTACTTATAGGTATTTGCTACAGGATTACCATATTAATGACTGTAACGTTCTTGTAAGGAGTGGACTTTTCGTCATATCTTCAACTTTAGGTCACTCTGGCTGGATTGATCTCCGAACTAGT